GCATGCTCAATGGGAAAATTAATTATCCCTTTAGCCAGTTCTACTTTTTCTATAGTATTTCTTACTTTCTAATGTGGTGCTGTGGGTTAATGCGCAGGACTGGTTAATGCGCAGGCTGCAAAGTCGACTTGAACTGAAAGATCAGCAGTTCAAGCTCACCAGCCACTCCTCTGAAACCCTATACAGGGTCTCTATGGGTTGTAACCAACTTGACAGCACTTAGCAACGACAACAACATATAGTTGTTTTTATTGTAGGGGCTCCACATTCTTTCTGCCCCCAAGCTCCTTGAGGCAGACATCTTTATTATACAGTGATGTATCCAAATGCCCAAACTGTACCTGCTGTCCTGTAGGCTACCAGTCATGACAACCTTATGTATAAAAGGTTGCCTCGCCTTGTGCCATCTTTATGATTGAGCTCATTTTCTATGACTACATTGGACCATATTATGTTGTGATTCATAAGGTTTTCGTTGGCTAATTTTTGGAAGCAGTTCACCAGGCCTTTCTTCCTTGTCTGTCTGAATCTGGAAGCTCCACTGAAACCTGCTCTTGAATGGTCCTGTTTGTATTTGAAATACAGTGGCATAGCTTTCAACATCAATCTGCAAGTCACCCATAAGTATTTGTTAAATGAACGAATAACCATTACTCCTTCAAGAATCACAAGCTCTATGGAAGCAGAACAACTTTCATATGCATGTGAAGCTATTGAAAATACCATGGCTTGGTTTAGGCGCACCTTAGTCCTCAAACTGATATCTTTGCTCTTGAGTACTTTAAAGAGATCTTGTACACCAGATTTGCCTAGTGCAATATATCATTTGATTTCTTGACTGCTGCTTCCATAAGCGTTCAATGTGAAACCAAGCAAAAATTTCCCCCCAATCATGTTATTTTATGGTTCAGTTGTGAGAAATTTTGTTTTCGTTACATTGAGTTGCAATGCATACTGAAAGCTGAGGTCTTTTATCTTCATCAGTATTTTAAGTCCTCTTTGCTTTTAGCAAGCAAGGTTGTATAATATACATATCACAGGTTGTTAATGAGTCTTCTTCTAATCCTGATGCCACACTCTTCTTCATATTATCTAGCTTCTCAGATCATTTGATCAACATATAGACTGAATAAGTATGATAAAAGAACACAGCCCTGGCACACCATCTCGTATCCCCTTATTATGTTGGGGTGACTGCCTCTTGCTGTATGTACAGGTTCTTCTTGAGCACAATCAAGTTTTCTGGAATACCCATTCTTCACAATGTTCTCCATAGCCTGTCATGAGCCACACAGTTGAAAGCCTTTGCATAGTCAATAAAGTACAAGTAAACATCTTTCTGGTATTCTCTGTATTCAGCCAAGACCTAGCTGACATCAGTAATGATATCACTAGTTCCATGTCCTCTTCTGAATCCAGCTTGAGTTTCTGGTAGTTTCCTGTTGATGTAAACTTGCATCCATTTTTTAATTATCTTCATCAAAAATTTACTTGCATGTGATATTAATGATAATGTTAAATGATTTTCACATTCCATTGGGTCACCTCTCTTTGGAATTGGAAATAATATGGATCTCTTAAAATCAGCTGTCTTCCAAATTATTTGTCATAGGTGAGTGAGTTCCTCCAATGCTGCATCAGTTTGTTGAAATATTTCAATTTGTATTCTGTCAGTTCCTAGAGCCTTGTTTTTCACTGGTACCTTCAGCGCAGCTTGGACTCCTTCCCTATGTACCATTGATTCTTGATCATATGCTATCTCTTGAAATGATTGACAACTTTTTGATACAGTAATTCTGTGTATACCTTCCATCTTCTTTTGATGCTTTCTGCATCATTCAGTATTTTGCGTATGTTGTTGTTAAGTGCCTTTGGTTGAGTCAGTTCTGGCTCATAATAACCCTGTATAGGGTTTCTGAGGAGCAGCTGGTGGGCTTGAACCACTGATCTTGAAGTTAGCAGGCCAATGCTTATCCTACAGCGCCACACCAGAACTTCTGCATATATAACCCTTCAACATTGCAAAGTGAGGTTTGAATATATTCTTCAGTTCTTTCAGCCTGAGAAACGTTGAGCAAGTTCTTCCATTTTGGTTTTCTAACTCCAGGTCTTTGCACATTTCATTATAATACTTGACTTCATCTTCTTGAACTGCCTTTTAAATTTTTCTGTTCAGTTCTTTTAATTCCTTGTTTCTATCATTTGCTCTAGCATCTCTAAGCTGGAGGGCAAGTTTCAGCCTCTGTTCTGACATCCATTTTGGTCTTTCTTTACTTTTTTTTATGTTGCTTATAAAAAGGTATTTGCAACCTATGCATATGAATGCAGTGGCACAAAAGAGGCAACAAATCCTTACAGCAAGAAACATTCCCACCCCCTCCACACACAGAGTAGACAGAGAGGGGCAACTTGGACATTGGATACCCAAATGGGGAGGGAGGGACTACAAAGGCAAGAAGTAACTGGCTTACAAGCTTTCAAGAGGGAACCTAGACCTTGGGAGCATGGAGGAAGGCAGAATCACCAGTGAGTACTATCCAATTTGTCTAGGTGGAGCTGATGAAATGAAATACAGATGGGTTACATGCTATATTTTAGTGAATAATGGTTATCAAGATGGATTGTGAGTGTTGGAAATGCAAGGTAGATGTTTTGTAGCAAAGAAGAGAGCGATTATTTCTCCAGTCTAGGAGCAGAGGTCTCTGGGACCACCAACGGATAAAAGCCGAGAACGGGACCCCACCCAGAGAACCGGGGATGCCTGAGATGGAGACAGAGATGATGACATGGAGGGATGAAGTGTCTGGGGACTTTGGCTCCAGAGAGGAAGAGGAACTGTGGGCCAAAGACTGAGGGGGGAGGGGGGAGCATAGAGCACGGGCTTCTAGGATATGCCCTTTGGTCAGAAGACGATGCATGGAGGGGATTGGAACCATGGCAATGTAATGATATACGATGGAATGAATATGGAACTGAGGTTCTCTCATGTAAACTATCAAATAACTCACAATAAAACATAAAAAAATTAATATATAAAGAAAAGGTTAAAAATGCTTTTGACTTATTCTCATGAGATATTATCAAAGAAAAACAAATTCTTTTAAAAAAAAAAAAGGTATTTGCAATGAATAAGTCACTGGTCTTGCAAAATTCTATCATGCAGTCTCCAGCATCATTTCTCTCACTTATTTTCCAACTAATGATCCTTCCTCTTTGCTTCCAACCTTTGCATTCCAAATACCAGTAATTATCAATACATCTTGATTGCACATTTAATCTATTTTACACTGAAGAAGTTGGTAGAATTCTTCAATTTCATTATCACTGGCTTAATGTTTTGTATGTAAATGTTAATATTAGTGGTATTAACTGTTCTTCTTTGTAAGTGTATGGACATTATCCTATTAGTGACAGCATTGTACTTCAAGATAGAATTTGAAATGTGCCTTTTAATGATTACTGCGACTCCATTAGTCTTGAATTTGCCCTTCCTAGCATAGTAAACCATATGATTGTTAGATTCATGGTGAATACCAGATCATTTCAGCTCACTAATGCAAGGAGCTCTGGTAGCGTAGTGGTTACGAATCGGGCTGCGAACCTTAGGGTCAGCGGCTCGAAACTACCAGCCGCTCCGCGGGAGAAAGACGAGGCTTTCTACTCCCGTAAAGATTTACACCCTCGGAAACCCTGTAAAGGGTCGCTATGGGTCGGACCCGACACGATGGCACTTAACAACAACAACAACAATGCTTTGGATATTAATGTTTATGCGGTCCACTTCATTTTTGACAATTTCCAATTTCCTAGATTTATACTCTGTACATTAATGGATGTTTCCAGCTGTTTCTCCTTATTTTGAGCTGTGCCCCATTTGCAGATGAAGGTTTCAGAAAGCTTTATCCCATTCACATCATCAAGGGCAATGCTACTTTGAGGACGCAGCTCTTCCCTAGTTGTATTTTAAGTGCCTTCCAACCTGAGGGGCTCATCTTCTGGCACTACATCTAACAATATTCTGGTGCTATTCACAATGTTTTCATCTTTGACACTAGTTGATAATATTCCACTGCTATTCATAAGACTTTTCCATTGCTAACCAAGTAGAAGTGGTTCGCCTCTCCCTCTTCAGTGTCTCTTTGTATGGAAGCCCAGCTGAAACTATGGGTGACCCTGCTGTTATTCAAAGTGCTGGTGACAAAGCTTCCAACATCACAGCTACACACAAGCCACCACAGTATGACAAACTGAGAGACAAGTGATGTTAAGTGTCTTTGTTGTTGTTAAGTATATTTGAGTCAATCGGACTCATAGGGACTCTGTATAAGGTTTGAGAGGTGTGGATAGTGGGTTTCAACAGCCGACCTTTCGTTCAAACAGACCTTGCAGTCCCGTGCATTATCCTGTAGCGCCATCCCAGGACTCATCACATCAGTAATAACGGACACTTTATTTTAGTCAAGCTTTATTTGTGAGGAATAAGCCTTGTAAAGAGTTTTACAGACATCAGGGCAAGACTAGTTCACAGTAATAGTTGTCTATTAATAACTTCCTATTCCTTTATCTTAACTAAATCAAGGTATGCTAGCGCCTTTCCTCCTCCCCCGCCTCGTTCCTTTCTGGGCATGCGCAAGAACTAAATGGCCACGCCCTCTCCATGCCAAATCTTTGAAGCTAGACTGAAAACAGACTCATTTCAGTCTTATTGATTGGATTTGCTGACTAAAACGATGTAAATCATATCACATTATAGGCTAAAAAGGGCTGCAAAACTCTCTGCTTTCTGCCAGAATACCAAACCCCAAACTCATGACCCCCGACGACCCAGGGACTCTCAAACCCGCCCCGGCTTTGCGCTAGAAACTGAGTCCTACCACCCCACTAATTGGGGAGGGAGGTGGTCACCTAGCCGGCTTTTCATTGGCTCGTAGTCACAAACCCAACAGCTTCCCCCCTTCTGGCCACTAAGTGGTTGAGGCCGAAAAGCAACGCCTATTGTCATTGGCTGAGCAGAACTGTCCGTCTTCTCGTGTTTCGCAGCGCGGCGCGGAGCGGTGGCGCGCGGCCTGTAAAGAGACAGTCTTCAAGCCTGCAGTCAGGAGAAGATGGCGGTCGCAGTGAGAACTTTGCAGGAGCAGCTAGAAAAGGCCAAAGAGAGTCTAAAAAATGTGGATGAGAATATTCGCAAGCTCACCGGACGGGATCCAAATGACGTGAGGTAAGTGCCGAGGGAACTGTAGGCTTGACGAGGGCGTCTCAAAGCCGAGGTGAAGTGGGGGCGGGGTGGGCGGCCAGCTTTGAGACGCTGGAACATCTTGGGCTGTTCATGGGGCAGCAGTAGAACCCTATCCTTGGTGGTGGGTCCCTGAACTCAGGTGCGTGGGTAAGGGGAGTGTGGCCTTGGTGTGTCATGATGGCTTTCTGGCCTGCGGGGAGGCCGGGCTGCTGATTCCCGCCCTCGACCGCACAGGCCTGAACCATAGCACAAAGCCGCTGTTCTGGGTGCCACTGGTCCGAAGCTCGCCCGGAGGACCCCTCCGCACCGGACACCCACGTGGTGCCACTTCCGCGGAGTTGGCGGAATTAGGATCGGAGCCAGAAGTGTTAATGCGTGGTGGCTTCCTGGCAAATGTAATTTCTATGTTAGTCCTGTAAAACACGGAAGTTCATCTCAAATAGTACTTCCTGACCGGTTTCAAACACGTGGTTTGGAAAAGGACGATTTGGAGCTTCTGTAGGTACTTAGCCGTTATGATGACTGGCATACATGGAAGGATTTGGTGCCACTGATGTGTTTACAAATAATTCGTGTATTTAAAATTTTTGCAGGCCCATCCAAGCCAGGTTGCTAGCCCTTTCTGGTCCTGGTGGAGGTAGAGGACGCGGTAGTTTATTGCTGAGGTAAGATTTTTCCTGTGACTTAACTCATATGCTTAGACTACTGTTACTTTTGTTATTTTTTGATAATTTAACGTTTTGGTGTAAAAAAAAAAATATATGATACAGCCAATATTTGAAGAAATGCACTTGTTATCTGTAATTTTGTGGAAGGCAGCCATCAGTCAGCTGTTAAGTCGGTCGCGACCCTATATAGCGTGTCCATGGTGCAGCTGGTGGGTTTGAACCACTGACCTTGCGGCACAGCTCATTATCCTGCAGTAATACACTAAGTCAGCTGTGCTTTCTTATATGTAGTTATCCTGAAACTTCGTTTAAGTGAAAGCAGAACTCAAGATGAAGAATTTGTGTAAATTTAATTGAAAAAAGAGTCCTTGCTGCACGGTAGGATTAGCACTGGGTTGCTATTCACAAGGTTCAAAACCATTGGCTGCTCTCATGTTTAGTCTTCGAAATGCTACATGAGGTTATGAGTCAAATTCAGCTTGATGGCAGTGGGCACGGAGATTTTAATGGAAAAAGAAGCCCTTGTGCTGTGGTTAAGCTTTCAGCTGTTAACTAAAACATCTGAGCTTTGAATTCATCAGCCTGTATAGAAAAACGATGTGACAGTCAACATCCCTAAATTATGTGTATAATTCCCTAAAGATTATAGCCTCGGAGACTTTATGACCAATGGGTTGGGTTCTGTTCTGTCCTACAGAGCTACTGTTAGTCAGAATTGAGTCAATTCTGGAAAACTTAAAAGCAATGCAATAAGTTCTGTTCATTAATTGAAAATACCATCTAAAGTTTCAAATACTTAATATTGAATGCTTTTAATTGCAGGCGTGGATTCTCAGATAGTGGAGGAGGACCCCCAGCCAAACAGCGAGATCTTGAAGGGGCAGTCAGTAGGTATGTTAGAAAAAAGATTTCTGAAGGGATCTATAAATGCTTTATTTTCCGAGTTAGTACTCAAATATAGATATTTAGTAAGTATTTTTTAATTGAGTTGTGGTAGAGAGTTGAATAGATACCAGTTTTTTTGTGTCTGTTCCTTGTTGTCTGATTGAACAGACATTCACTCAAAACTGGGTCCTTTGTGACAACAGATGTCACCAAAATGATTCAGTAAAAGTAAAGAGTGTGAGAAGAATAATTGGGAGAAATCGTTAATTTGTACCACTTTCCCTGTATTGTACTACAAAACTTAACCTGTTTAAGAAATAATTAGATCAAAATTTGGTTTGGACATTAATGATAATTTTATTCTTTTATTACTGGAAAAAGTAAAACGGGATGAAAACTGATAGAATGAAATTTCTAATAAATGAGTCCTAGAAAAAGTGGGCATTTGTCCTTGGCGTGCACTCAGTCACATTCCCCAGTACTCATTTAAATTATTTTTTGATGGCAGGCTGGGCGGGGAGCGTCGGACCAGGAGAGAATCACGCCAAGAAAGTGACCCAGAAGATGATGATGTTAAAAAGGTATTGTGTTATTGTTAAGTGCCGTTAAGTAGGTTCTGAGTCATAGCAGCCCTCAATGGAGTTTTCAAGGAGCAGCTGGTAGGTTTGAAATACCAACCTTGTGGTTTGTAGTCCTATACTTATCCTACAGCACCATACTTGTTAAGTGCTGTTGAGTCGTTTACGACTCCAAGGGTTCATCCTTGTTTTAGTACATATCAGAACTTCATTTCTATGTATGGCTAAATATCGCTTTTTTTTGTATGTACTATGTTTTGTGTATGTATCCGTTGATTGACATTACTGCAATGTTCACATTAGCCAAAAGGTGAAATCTCAGATGTCACTCAAGATGAATAGATAACACAAAACGTAGCATGTGTGTGTGTGTGTGTTGGAATGTTATTTAGCCGTAGATTGAACTGAAGTTCTAATATGTACTACAACATGGATGAACCTTGAATACAATAAAATAATCCCACTTAAATATCTAGAACAGGCAAATACATAGAGACCAAAGTGTCTGTCGGAGGTGGGTTGTTGTTAAGTCGGTGCTGTCCCATAGCGACCTGTGCAGGGTTTTCTAGGAAGCACCTTTGCAGTCTAGTGTATTAACCCACAGCACCACACCAGGACTCCAGGGGAAGGTAGTTGTTGTTTTTAAGTACCATTGAGTCAGTTCCAACCCATAGTGATCCTGTATAGGGTTTCCAAGGAGCTTTTAGTGAGCTTAAACCGCCAACCTTGCAGTTCAAGCGGCTTTGCAGTCTGGCGCATTAACCCACAGCACCACACCAGTGAGTAGAAAGTACTTAATGCTTAAGGGTCAGTGGATTTCTGTTAAAGGTCATGGAAACATTTGGATAGTAGTAGTGGTTAGCGCCATTTGTGAACATACTGTCAATGTATATATGTGTGAAATGTACTGTATGAGTGAAAATGGTTCAAATGACAAATGTTGTATGTACATGTATGTATTTACTGTTGGGATTTTTTTTTTTTTCCTGTTTTCAAGTTAATTAAAAGAGCTTGCCAGGGGGTGAATAAAATACTTTTACCTTACTGCATTTAGTAGGTGCACAGCAGCTCTATAGGATAAGCACTGGACTGCTGTCCACAACTATTGCAGTTCGAGCCAGGGAAAGTCTGTCTGTTCCTGCCGAGATTTATAGCCTTGGAAGCCCTAGAAAGGGTTATGATGAGTTAGAACCAACTCAGTGACATTTAACAACAAAACTGAATGCCACTCATAAACTCATTAAGCCTCTGATATTTTTCTTTTCTCCTACAGCCAGCATTACAGTCTTCAGTTGTAGCTACCTCCAAAGAGCGTACACGTAGAGACCTTATCCAGGATCAAAATATGGACGAAAAGGGAAAGCAAAGGTATTTTTAATATCCTTCTGAGGGGGGAAATTAATGTTAAATTTGCTATGCAACAACATTTTAAGAATAAGGGATTGTTCCGCATTAAATATATCTTTTTCTGCTCTTTAGGAATCGACGAATATTTGGCTTGTTGATGGGCACTCTTCAGAAATTTAAACAGGAATCCACAGTTGCTACTGAAAGGGTATATATGCAATTTTTGCTTTTGTTTATATGTTTGGTGTTTAAGTGGTCAATTGCAAGCCTAAAATGTGGCCAAGGGGAAATTTATAAAGATTTCTGAAGAAGTTATTGTTTACTGGTCTAGTTTTGAGAAAGTGAAGCGCCTCTATCTGTGTCTCATTAGAATCTGGGCTGGTATTGTCTAAGAAGGTTTATGATAATCTAATTGTGTGATGTTGGGCAATTCTATTTATTTCTTTAGGTCTCAGAGTTGTTTCTCCCAAGAAGAAAGTTGAACTATTATCTTCTTTATGTGATCTGATTCTTTATGACTTATTTGTATGCACAAAGCATAAATAGTCCCCACACTGGTTTAACTATCTTTAGCTGTCTATCGTATTGTTATTTAGTCTTTCTACTAGTTGTTAATTAGAACAACAAAATTGTATCTGTTCAGTTGAACCCCAAATTACTGCTTCTTACGGAAGAGTGGAATGGGAATAATAAAAATTAATAAAATTTTATTTTAGTTTTTATGTGTTAACTTTGCTAGGAATTTTAAAAAGCTTAGAAGCATTTTAATGCTTTTGAAGAAGAAATGCTTGCAGAATAAGTTGGTTTTCTGAAGTAGGTGAAGGAAAATTATGACTCATATGTTAGTTCCTGAGACTTCATTTTTGTCAAATTCTTTGATTTGGAAATAACTGCATTGAGCTATAAAATTTCTTGACTAATTGAAATCAAATATGCTTAGATTACCATTTTCTGTAAGTCATAAATATTAATACAAATTGCTTATTTTTAGCAAAAGAGGCGCCAGGAAATCGAACAGAAACTTGAAGTGCAGGCAGAAGAAGAGAGAAAGCAGGTTGAAAATGAGAGGAGAGAACTATTTGAGGAAAGACGTGCTAAACAGACAGAACTGCGACTTTTGGAACAGAAAGTTGAGCTTGCGCAGTTGGTGAGTAGTGTTTCAAGAGCCCAAGATTGGCAATCCTTTTGTTACAAAAGATTGACCTTTTATTTTTTTTAATGTATTTTTTTTTAGCAAGAAGAATGGAATGAGCATAATGCCAAGATAATTAAATATATAAGGACTAAGACAAAGCCCCATTTGTTCTATATTCCTGGAAGAATGTGTCCAGCTACCCAAAAACTAATAGAAGAGTCACAGAGAAAAATGAATGGTAAGTGTACATGAAGAAGTCCACTGAAAATATCATAATGGGCAAGGTAATCTATACATGTATTTGTTACTTAAAATGATTATGATTTGGTGGGGTTTTGTTTTGTTTGTTTGTTTGATATTTAGTTGGTGATGCATGTGGATATGCATTTAAGTATTTGAGTAATATGATTTTTTTCTTTTTTCCCGCTTGATATTTTCAGTACCCATAATCTTGTAAATGCTAATGAAACAAGAGGGGCAAAGTGAATACATAGAAGGCGAGACATTGCTAAGATAGTGATTACATGATTTGTGTCCTTCAGATCAGCAGAATTAATGCATGATATGTGATAAAGAAGTCTTGCTCTTTTTTATGTAGACCAGGTATAAAGTTGAATAGCAAAAGATTGTTGGTTTCCCATTAGCCTAGATACTTCGGTTTAGTTTTGCCTACTACTATTTTCTCAATGTATTGTTTTCTGGGATCTTTGCTTTCGAAAGTATTTTATGCCAATTTTTAATTTCTTGATTTGCTAAAATCTGTCCTTTTGTCACCCTCTTTATACAAAAATATATTTAGGTGAGCTTAATGATAATTTGTGGCCAAGTGTAAAATTGTGACTTTTTTTAAGCATAGTGAATTTTATACATGTAAATTTTTATTCTTTAGCTTTATTTGAAGGTAGACGCATCGAATTTGCAGAACAAATAAATAAAATGGAGGCTAGGCCTAGAAGACAATCAATGAAGGAAAAAGAGCATCAGGTGGTGCGTAATGAAGAACAGAAGGCGGAACAAGAAGAGGGTAAGGTGGCTCAGCGTGAGGAAGAGTTGGAGGAGACAGGTAATCAGCACAATGATGTAGAGATAGAGGAAGAGGAAAAGGAAGTAGGTATAGTTCATAGTGATCCAGAGAAAGAACAGGAGGAGGAGGAACAAAAACAGGAAATGGAAGTTAAGGTGGAGGAGGAAATTGAAGTCAGGGAAAGTGAAAAACAACAGGATAGTCAGCCTGAAGAAGTTATGGATGTGTTAGAGATGGTTGAAAATGTCAAAAATGTAATTGCAGAACAGGAGATAATGGAAACTAATCAAGTTGAAAGTGTAGAACCTTCAGAAAATGAAACCAGCAAAGAAATGGAGCCAGAGGTGGAGTTCGAAGTTGAGCCAGATAAAGAATGTAAATCTCTTTCTCCTGGAAAAGAGAATGCTAGTGCTGTAGAAATAGAAAAGGAACCAGAGGAAAATGAAGAAAAGGAATCTGAGCCCCAGCCAGAGCCTGTGGTTCAACCTCAGCCCCAACTCCAATCTCATTCCCAGTCTCAGTCCCAACCAGTGCTCCAGCCCCCATCTCACTTGCAGTCTGAAACTTTGCCATTAGCTGTTTTACAGTTACCAACTCAGATTGTTCAGGAGCAAGGACATTTACTACCTGAGAGGAAGGAATTTCCTGTAGAATCTGTAAAACTCACTGAAGTATCACTAGAGTCAGTCTTAACAGTACATACAGAGAGCAAAGGCAAAACCAAAACTAGGAGCAGAAGCAGAGGTCGAGCTAGAAATAAAAGTAGCAAGAGTAGAAGTGGAAGCAGTAGCAGTAGTAGTTCTAGTAGTAGTTCAACCAGTAGTAGCAGTGGAAGCAGTTCCAGCAGTGGCAGTAGTAGTAGCCGAAGTACTTCCAGTAGTAGCTCCAGTACAAGTGGTAGCAGCAGCCGAGACAGTAGCAGCAGCACTTCTAGTAGTAGTGAGAGTAGAAGTCGAAGTAGGGGCCGGGGACATAACAGAGATAGAAAGCACAGAAGGAGCGTGGATCGGAAGCGAAGGGATACTTCAGGACTAGAAAGAAGTCACAAATCTTCTAAAGGTGGTAGTAGTAGAGATACAAAAGGATCAAAGGATAAGAATTCCAGGTCCGACAGAAAAAGGTCTATATCAGAGAGTAGTCGATCAGGCAAAAGATCTTCAAGAAGTGAAAGAGACCGAAAATCAGACAGGAAAGACAAAAGGCGTTAATGGAAGAAGCCAGGCTTTCTTAGCCTATTCTTTGCAGCAGAAGATTTCTTGAGTAAAAGGATTACCTTTCCTTGTAAGGAGGATGCTGCCTTAAGAATTGCATGTTGTAAAAAAATCTTTTTGGAAAATACAGACTTTGTTTACCAGACATTCTTGTACTTTTTGCATAATTTTGTAAGAGTTATTTATCAAAATTATGTGAGGTTCCAAAATATGTAAAAAATAATAATAAAAAAAGATTAACATCCCTTGTCATCTTTTTTAAATATCCTATACTCTTCAGTAAGAATCTGTATATTTTAATAGGTAAATCTTTAAACTCTGTTCCTGTCTAATTCTGTATCATACATTGCTTTTGTAGAAATAAATGTGCGTTTCATTACATTTGAGATGTCCTCGTTGACACTTGTGTAATAAATACTCTCAATATCATTTTCAGCTTTTATCACTAGATACTGAACATGATTATAATGTTTTTGAAGGTTTCTTCACTTGGATGATTATTTTGAGTTTTCAAAGTCAGATCTTTTGGGCTTTGATAGGGAACTTCGTTCTCTTTATTTTAAAATCATTTACTATTTTTTAATCTCGTTATTTTAACATGAGCATTTTTCCCTGTTCCTCATATTTAAGCCAGATGTTAAGGCTCAGTAGATAAAAGTGATAAATCTGGTTGGCAGATTTATCTTTTTGATTATGGGAACATCATTCTTTTGTCTCCATAGTTAACTCGCGTGATGCAGCTTATACATCTGTTAGAAAATCACTCTACGGGAGGGAAGTAGAAAAGTATCTTCTAAACTTGGTTTTTGAGTTTGTGATCTTGTCTTAACTTTTGTCTTGACTCTTAACTGAAACATGCCAATACGTGTTTTCAATAATTTTTGTTTTAAGGAAGTATTGTATGACAGTTGATAAAATGAGAGGAGTTCATCTAGACTTGAATATGTAAGCAAGATAGCACATAAGTGTACCAAGTGATTATACTTTGTTCGATTTATAAATTTGTATGAATTTGAGTATCTGTTGCCCATTATTATACATGTGCAAATAAATGTGGCTTAGACTTGGACTGCTTAAGACTAGTACTTGTATTAACTTTTTGATGCTTTATACAAGAGAGCACTTAAAATGCAAATGACCTTTAAGTTAACACTGACTAAAATGTAAAACTAGCTTTAGGTTTAACTGTCAATATTCATTTTGCTTTACCTTGACAAGTAGATGGTTACAGTGAAAATGTCAAAAAGAATTCTAATTTGTATGTCTATATAAAATTGTGTGTGTATAAGTGAATATGTAAAACAATTCTTCAAACTTCCTATTTTGGAGTAATTCTTGAATGGTAAATGAGTAGAACTTTATAAACTTCAGAGCCATCCACATTCTGGGCAAGTTGTTTCTGATCAAGAGTAATTTTATCCTGGACTCTTAAAATCCTATAGTTTAACATGATTTTTAAAAAATTCTCATTTAATGAATCTTGAAATAATAGTATACATTAAGGTCCTTTATACAAAAAAAGTTCTTTTCACTCATTTTGAGCTGGAAATTTTGAACAATTTCATGGTGTTTATAAAGAAGATGGAGTCCTGATGTGGCATTGGGGGATCAGCACTGGACTGCTAACCACAAGGTCTATGGTTCAGATCCACCAGTCGTTCCTTATACAGGGTTGCTATGAGTCAGAACTGACTCAATAGCATTTAACAATAGAAAAGTTACTAGTTTTGATTTCAAGCTTGATGGGTATGATGGTTATGGAGGTGTGATGCATGGAAGAAAAAAGGTCTTGCAACGAGTAATTTTCAATAAAGTCCTAATATATAGAAGAATTTCTAATGTTATTTTTAACTGAGATAGTTGGAAGGTTCAATTTTAGTTTCTTGTTTGTTTGATGTTTCCAATTAATGCTTTTTTGTTCGCTTCAGAGATTCAAGGAACTTAACATTCATAGAACCATTAATTATTTGCAAAAATAAAAATAACAGGCAGTCACTGGGCTATCTTCAACCATAAATACTAACCAATGCACTGCGTCTTTTCGTGAGCACAAGTGCAGAGACTACATGTTGTGTACCCTGGTGTCGGTTCCAACTCATAGCGACCCTGCACAGGGTTTCCAAGGCAGTAAATCTTTACAGGAGTAGAACGCCTCTTTTTCTTGCGGAACCACTGATAGTATCAAACTGCTGACCTTGAGGTTGGCAGCCTGGCTGGTATTCACTACGCTAGTAGAGCTCACTCAGAGACTACATCATGGTGGTGATTATGTACTGTAGAGTTGGTTCTGACTCAGTGACCCACCCTGTACAGGGTTTCTGAGGCTGTAAATCTTTTACGGGAGCAGAAAGCCTCATCTTTTTTTCCCACGGAACAGTTGGTAGTTTTGAACTGCTGACCTTGCAGTTTGCAGCCCGATTCGTAACCACTATACTGCCAGAGCTCCTTAGAGACTACATGTCAGTTGTCAGGTGCCATCGAGTCGGAACCGACTCATAGCGACCCCATGCACAGCAGAACGAAACAATGTTCGATCCTGGGCCAACCTCACTACCGCTGCCACACTTGAGTCCATCAATGATGCCACCTGGCTGATCCATCTCGTTGGGGGTCTTCCTCTTTTTCTCTGACCCTCCACTCTACCCAGCATGACATCCTTCTCCAGTGATTGTTTCCTCCGGACAATATGTCCAAAGTAGGAGAGACGAAGCTTAGCCATCCTGGCCTCCAAGGAGCACTCTGGCTGCACTTCTTCCAAAACAGATCTATTGGTTCTTTTGGCAGTCCATGGCACTTTCAGTATTCTCCTCCAACACCACAACTCAAAGGCATCAATTCTACGATCCTCCTTATTCACTGTCCAGCTTTCGCATCCATATGAGGCTATTGAAAACACAATGGCCTGGGTCAGGCGTACCCTAGTCCTCAAGCTGACATCTCTGCTCTTCAACACTTAAAAAAGTTCCTGTGCAGCAGATTTGCCCAAGAGACTACATGGGAAGGGCTAATTTGTATCCTCACTCACTCGGACTGCACCCTGTTCGAACCAAATGTGAAAGGCTATACCAGAGCTGGAAGCCACTCAGCACCTCCAGAGTCCTGGAGTAGACAGGAGACTATAGGTCTTCTCTTCCTACCACTTGGCTATGCATCATAATTAACCGTGTGGTGTGGCATGGCATGGGGACCATAAGCTAAGACCTGGCTTTACGTTAATCTTGTCCACAACCAGTGCAGTTCAACCCAAGCTGTATGCCAGCCACAGAAGGGTTAAGATCCTGCCTGCTCCTGAGAGAAGGTACTGGCTACTGTGGAGTCCTTATTGCTTATACTGCCAGCAATATATAAAGGTCTTATAACACCTTTATATATTGGATAAGTACTGGGTTGTTAACCACAAGGTTAATTCAAACCCACCAGCCACTCAGAAACACTACAGCAGGGGTGGGGAACATCTGGCCCATAGGCCACCTAAGGCCTGTGAAGTCATTTGCTGTAGCTCTGCCAAGGCAACTGCAGTTGCAACCTTTGTGGTAGTGGTTATGTACTTTGGAGTCAATTTGACTCATAGTGACCCTGTGTAGGGTTTCTGAGGCTGTAAATCATTACAGAAGCAGAAAACATTTGAATTGCTGACCTTGAGATTAGCAGCCTGACATGTAACCACTATGCTACCAGAGCTCCTTAGGAATCATGTTAAGTGCCATTGAGTTGGTTTTGACTCTTAATAACCCTGTTAGGGTTTCTGAGGAGTGGTTTGTGAGCTTGAACCACAGAACTTGTGGTTGAAACTGACCTTGCAGTCCAGCACATTAATCTATAGCACCACACCAGGACTACAGCCATCACATTGTTAAGTGCCATCGAGTCAATTCTGACCCATAGTGACCCTGTATAGGGTTTCTGAAGAGCAGCTGGTGAGCTTGAACTGCTGACCTTGCAGTTCAAACAGCTTTGCAGTCTGATACATTAACCCACAGCGCCACACCAGGACTACACATTAGCGGTGAGTTAATTATTTGACCAAATATAGCAGGCTAATTTTTAAAAATGATAGTTTTGTGTGGCCTGTGAATGATGTTATAAATGAAGTCAGAAAAGGTTTCCTCACGTCTGTTATATAGGGTTACTGAGTCAGAACCAACTCCACAGCACTTAACAATAACATTTTGCAACAAGCATCAGAACATTCCAGGGTTAGTTAACAAGTATTGCTGTGAGTACCAGCTCATATGTGCACAAGTCTGATCAGTTGATGGTTGCAGACAAGTTCTTGTTAAGATGCGCTCCAAGTCCAGAACTGACTTCTAAGGGTTATCTGCAGGTCATTGGAATTCAAGGCTCTGAAGTTTATAGCAACTATTTTTTGGAAATCCAAAGGGGTCATTTTAGATCTCTTTTCTCAGAATACAGTATGATCATGGAGGTTTATTTTGAATTTTTAAGAAAATGTAAAGTCACTAGTAAAAAGAGACTAAGAAAGGTGCACCAAGGATTCTTTAAAAAAAAAAATTTTTTTTTGTTTTAAGTTTTTATCGTGAATTGAGTGAAAGTTTACAGGGCAGACCATCAGTTTTATATGAAACAAATCATATACTTTGTTTCATTACAATTATTATAATCCCCTCAATGTACCATCAGTTGACAGTATTTCTATTCATTTTAGCTTTTTTTTTTTTTTCTTTTTAAACACTCAGGCATATATAATCATTTAAACCACTAAAGGGCACATTCTGCAAGTCGTCCTCCTGGCTGCCAGCTCTCAGTCTTTCTCTTTCCATGAATCTAGAGCCCTCAGCTGCTCTCTCTTTCCCAACTGATTTTTTTTTTTTTAATGTTTTATTGTGACTTATGTGATAGTTTACATGGGAGAGCATTAGCTTTACATTCATCCTATTGTATATCGTTTCCTTGCCATGGTTACAATCCCCTCCATGCATCATCAACCAACCAAAGGGTATACCCTACAAGCCTGCTCCCCGGTCATCAGCACACAGCCTCTCTCCCTCTCTGGGTCTAAAGTCCCCAGATGCTCCATCTCTCCAGGTCATAATCTCTGCCTCCATCTCCGGCATCACTGTTTCTCTGGGTAGGGTCCCACACTTTCTTCTCCCTTGATGGTCCCAGGGACCTCCACTCCTAAACTGCAAAGTCAATCACTCCCCTCCTTGCTACAAAATGTCCACCTTTACATTTCCAACCCTCACAATCAAGGAATTATTTTAATCACTACAATGAAACTGCTCATTCTTCAAGGGTAGCAAGGACTGTCCGATGGAAATGTCATTGGGAACCTTAACATTCTGTAGTGCTGATCTTCCCCATTCATACTCAGCATTTCAAAGGAACACAATTTGATTCCCTTGAAAATGCCAAAACTGCCATTTTGATGGGTAAATTGAAAAGCTCAAGATTCTTTGGGGAAGGTTTAGAAATGGTAAAACTGCCTTCATAAGTGTATAGACCTGGATGTCCTTATATGTTGAGAGAATCTATAACATTTAATACTTTGTTTAATGAAGACTTTTATGATTTTGTAGCAAAACTTTGACCTTAACATTAAAGATGCTTAGTGTATCTGGATATGTTGAATATACAAGACTTCTGTTTCATGTACAAATTTGATTTATGAACCGAACTCATTAATAATCTGGGGAATGCTTGTTAATAGTTTACCAGGAGGATAAAAACGGTCTACTGATGAGAGGTTACAGTATATATGAAAAATTCAGGAGCTGAGGGAAGAATAGAGCTAGTGAAAGGACTGGAGTCACTTTGGAGCTCTACTAATAATAGCAAGCAAAGACACTTAGGACTTTTAGGAAGCAGCTCTTTCAGAGTATAAGGTTTAAACAACCACAGAAATGATTGTTTTTTATTTTTAATGAGCTGTATGTCTTCTGTAGAAATCTTTGGCAACTATGTTACCTTATATGTGAATTCATGTGATTAATCATTGGGATAAACAAAACCCATCAAAGCAATCTGTCTTGACATATTTTAAAAGAAAATATTGATCACATGGTATAATAGTAATAGAGGCGGATACTATTACAATAAGGCATTGAGATGTTTTGAGATT